CTACCTTACCCATTACAAAGATAGTTTCCCCAATTATCACCTCTAATACCATTAACTCTCAGGCATTTACCTTCCTTCCCCCCGCATCCTCTTCTGTTCTGAAATGTGATTTGTCCTTTTCATATGTGTTCATTTTTTTTAATTGTATCCTTTGGTATATGTGGTTGTGACTATTTTCTTCCACTATTTGATCTGAGGAAGTGTGTCTGGCCCATGAAAGCTCATCATCTAATAAACCATCTTGTTAGTCTTTAAAGTGCTACATAGTCCTGTATTTTGTTTCTCCTGTGATGAGGTAGTTTGTGTATACTAATCCTTACATTAGCAAGGTGCCAGTCTGTTACACTTTAGGATGATGCTGTGTTCAGCATTCTGTAGTTTCCTAGAAATCATGTACAACATTGAAAATGTTATTTTTACTACAAATAACTGCTTACCTTTTAATTTTTCCCCTCTTCCAGTCAGATATGTACAGTGTGGGTGTAATTCTTCTAGAACTTTTTCATCCATTTGGAACAGAAATGGAAAGAACCAAGATTTTGACAAGCTTACGAAATGGCCATGTTCCTGGTTCTTTTAAAAACAAATGGCCAGTACAATACAAGTACGTTAAGTTGTTAACCAGTGAGGTATCATCACAGAGACCAACTGCTGCTCAGCTTCTTGAAAGTGAACTGTTTAATAATACAGAAACTGTAAGTTATTATTTCTAACAGCCTTCAGTTTAGTACAGCATTAAAGAAAACATACATCTGAAAAAATGCATTTATGGATCTTGCAAAAAAAAAAAAAAGATTGCATTGTGCTGACACAATTCTCCCTCTTCCTGTTTGCATGCACCCTTAACCCTCTCTTCTATTTTTACAACATAAAGAATGGTTTGAATTATAGAACAAATGTAGTGCTTTTCTGATTACTGTGCTTGGGACCATTGCATGAGGAAGGTTTAGCAGCAGTGTTTTTAATCTTGAGTGGTTGATAAATATTGGTCTAGAAGTACTGAACCTATTTTCATTGTAGCATGTTATTTTGTAAAACTTGATTTAATATAAAATTAACAATTTTATCTGCTTCTCTGAAGACATTTCATAGGATTCTCTCTACCTGCATCACAGAGCCTGCCATGATCTCCCTTACCACTTTAGAATTTTGACCTTTGAATTACCCAAATGCTGGTTCAAAGGCTGTGCTCTAGCCTCAGAAGTCCCAGAACATTTTCCCCCAATCTTATTTAAAAAGTTGTCTCCAAATTTTGGGATTTGCTCCCTGGCTAGCCTCCTTGGGGTTGGAGGAAATACCACACCACCTTCCTATGCCCCCATTCCTTTTCTACTGCCAAACCAGCACTACCTCCAGCCCCATCTCCTCCCTCATCCCAACAATCAAGAGGAGCTGAGCAACTTTAAAACTGTAAATCCTGGAAAGTACTTCAAGCCAAGGTTACATTAGCACCTCCAGTTTCAACGCCTATATCATAGAATCATAGAATCATAGAATAATAGGACTGGAAGGGACCTCAAGAGGTCATCAAGTCTAGCCCCCCGCCCTCAAGGCAGGACCAAGCTCCACCTACACCATCCCTGACAGATGTCTATCTAACCTGTTCTTAAATATCTCCAGAGAGGGAGATTCCACCACCTCCCTTGGCAATTTATTCCAATATTTGACCACCCTGACAGTTAGGAATGTTTTCCTAATGTCCAATCTAAACCTCCCCTGCTGCACTTTAAGCCCATTACTCCTTGTCCTGTCCTCAGAAACCAAGAGAAACAAATTTTCTCCTTCCTCCTTGTGACACCCTTTTAGATATTTGAAAACCACTATCATGTCCCCCCTTAATCTTCGTTTTTCCAAACTAAACAAGCCCAGTTCATGAAGCCTGGCTTCATAGGTCATGCTCTCTAGACCTTTAATCATTCTTGTCGCTCTTCTCTGTACCCTTTCCAATTTCTCCACATCTTTCTTGAAATGTGGCGCCCAGAACTGGACACAGTACTCCAGCTGAGGCCTAACTAGCGCAGAGTAGAGCGGCAGAATGACTTCACGAGTTTTGCTTACAACACACCTGTTAATACAACCTAGAATCATATTTGCTTTTTTTGCAACAGCATCACACTGTTGACTCATATTCAACTTGTGGTCCACTATGACCCCTAGATCCCTTTCCGCCATGCTCCTTCCTAGACAGTCGCTTCCCATCTTGTATGTATGGAACTGATTGTTCCTTCCTAAGTGGAGCACTCTGCATTTCTCCTTATTAAACCTCATCCTGTTTACCTCTGACCATTTCTCTAACTTGCTAAGGTCATTTTGAATTATGTCCCTATCCTCCAAAGAAGTTGCAACCCCACCCAGTTTGGTATCATCTGCAAACTTAATAAGAGTACTCTCTATCCCAATATCTACATCATTGATGAAGATATTGAACAGTACGGGTCCCAAAACAGACCCTTGAGGAACTCCACTTGTTATCCCTTTCCAGCAGGATTTAGAACCGTTAACAACAACTCTCTGACTACGGTTATCCAGCCAATTATGCACCCACCTTATCGTGGCCCTATCTAAGTTATATTTGCCTAGTTTATCAATAAGAATATCATGCGAGACCGTATCAAATGCCTTACTAAAGTCTAGGTATATGACATCCACCGCTTCTCCCTTATCCACAAGGCTCGTTATCCTATCAAAGAAAGCTATCAGATTAGTTTGGCATGACTTGTTCTTCACAAACCCATGCTGGCTATTCCCTATCACTTTATTACCTTCCAAGTGTTTGCATATGATTTCCTTAATTACCTGCTCCATTATCTTCCCTGGGACAGACGTTAAACTGACCGGTCTATAATTTCCTGGGTTGTTCTTATTCCCCTTTTTATAGATGGGCACAATATTTGCCCTTTTCCAGTCTTCTGGAATCTCCCCTGTCTGCCATGATTTTTCAAAGATCATAGCTAAAGGCTCAGATACCTCCTCTATCAGCTCCTTGAGTATCCTGGGATGCATTTCATCAGGACCTGGTGACTTGCTGACATCTAACTTTCCTAAGTGATTTTTAACTTGTTCTTTGTGTATCCTATCTTCTAAACTTACCCTCTCTCTGCTTGTATTCACTACGTTAGGCACACCTCCAGACTTCTCGGTGAAGACCGAAACAAAGAAGTCATTGAGCATCTCCGCCATTTCCAAGTTCCCTGTTACTGCTTCTCCCTCCTCACTAAGCAGTGGGCCTACCCTGTCCTTGGTCTTCCTCTTGCTTTTAATGTATTTATAAAAGGTCTTCTTGTTTCCCTTTATGCCTGTAGCTAGTTTGATCTCATTTTGTGCCTTTGCCTTTCTAATCTTGCCCCTGCATTCCCGTGTTGCTTGCCTATATTCATCCTTTGTTAGTTGTCCTAGTTTCCATTTTTTATATGACTCCTTTTTTATTTTGAGATCATGCAAGATCTCCTTGTTAAGCCAAGCTGGTCTTTTGCCATATTTTCTATCTTTCCTACACAGCGGAATTGTTTGCTTTTGGGCCCTTAACAACGTCCCTTTGAAATACTTCCAACTCTCCTCAGTTGTTTTTCCCTTCAGTCTTGCTTCCCATGGGACCTTACCTACAAGTTCTCTGAGCTTATCAAAATCTGCCTTCCTGAAATCCATAACCTCAATTGTGCTGGTCTCCCTTCTACCTTTCCTTAAGATCATGAACTCTATTATTTCGTGATCACTGTCCCCTATACTGTCTTCCACTTTCAAGTTCTCAACTAGTTCCTCCCTATTTGTTAAAACCAAATCCAGAACAGCTTCTCCTCTGGTAGCTTTTTCAACCTTCTGAAACAGAAAGTTGTCTCCAATGCAGTCCAATCAACTGTGCTATAACAGAGGGGCAGTGCAGATTCCATCACTAGCAAGGGGCAGATGTAATAGGAAGTTTGTGCATCAGTGCTTTAAAACATAAGCCACTTTTAGACCTGTCAGGGAAAAAAAACAACTATCTCCTAGTGCTGTCAACTAATGCCATACCTGTCATCATTGAATTTTGCATTTCTTCTTTCTGTTGTAAGTTAATTTTTCAAGGGAGGAAACATTTCATGAGCTTGGTATATTAGCTACTGTAAATTAAATTTAAGAGGGATCCTTCCACATGACTTTTCTTAATCTGACTTTTGCTTTCAGGTTATTTGTAGTCTACAACAGAAGGTGATGCAGCAAGAGGAAGAAATTGAAAAGCTTAAAGAGAAAATAAAACTGCTTTCAAAAGAAAAAGAGAGAGAAGATAGGCACAAGAGTCTTGGTTCTCCTGTTTAAGTGGAGCATCAGCGATTGTATATACAGGAGTTTAATGTACCTTATAAAGTTTTTTTATATAAATGTCAAACCCACTTTCTTCTTGTGTTTCTACTTTTTGTCTTTCAGGCATATTCTTATACCCTGTAACAGGGGTGTCCAAACTTTTTTCAAAGAGGGCCAGATTTGATGAAGTGAACATGTGTGAGGGCCGACCATTTTGCCTGACATTCTTTGAACCATTAAAATTAAATGCAAATTAACTATTTTATGCAAAGTTTATTGCAAACGGCATACTTTTCATTTCGTCACATGGATGACAAATCTAAACAGGTGTTAAATCACTCTGCCTTTCATATCTGAAGGCCAGATGAAAAAAAAAATCCAGGAAGCTGAAATATATGTCAGGAACATTGTAAAGTACATTACATATTATTGGTAATAAAGGTTGTCTGTCAACTTTTAAGTTCAAAAAATATGAACAGGAACATAACACCAAGTATACATGTTGTGTCCAAATATATTTATAACTGATTTAGACCAACTGACTTTAACTGAGATTTTACAATGTATTCATCTCAATACATATGGATTCATTGGGGGCCATAAAAGATAGATATTGCCAAATTACCCGTGGGGCCGTATTAAACCGGAACACGGGCCGCAATTGGCCCGTGGGCCGGACTTTGGACATGCCTGCCCTATAAGGTGTGGCTTATTTAATTTCACCTAGGAACTGCAGAAGTTGCCATATGTAGGACCCTTAAATTATCTATACATCTTTTACAGTGAGTCATTTTATTCAAGAAATCCTCCTAAACAGTTAAGAGCTAGGGCCACCAAATTTGATTATGTAGCTTCCTCGGACATTAACTTAAAGCAAGGTCTGGGTTTGGTCATGCCAGGAAAGTGTAGTGTCAGGACTGAGGTGGAGAGCAGTTCTACTGCAGTGACTACTGATGGCAGCTGCACCAGTTCATCTTTTACAGTGAGTCATTTTATTCAAGAAATCCTCCTAAACAGTTAAGAGCTAGGGCCACCAAATTTGATTATGTAGCTTCCTCGGACATTAACTTAAAGCAAGGTCTGGGTTTGGTCATGCCAGGAAAGTGTAGTGTCAGGACTGAGGTGGAGAGCAGTTCTACTGCAGTGACTACTGATGGCAGCTGCACCAGTTAGATGGTGGCCTGCTACAGACAGGGCTCAACCTGCTGCCACAAAAAGTGTGAGGGAGCCCACGTCCACCCAGGAGCCACCCCCCACGGCAGCCTGCAGGGGAGGGAAGTGGAGCTGCTAGAGGTCAGGACCAGTCCACAGAGCTTCTCTTCTCTCCTCCCCCCCCCCCTTCACCAGACTGCAGGAGGGAGGTAGGTAGATGTAAGGGGGCTAATGGTCCCCTGGAACAGCTGCCTGGCTCTCTTCCCCCCCCCCCCCCCTTCACCAGCCTGCAGGAGGGAGGTAGGTAGATGTAAGGGGGCTAATGGTCCCCTGGAACAGCTGCCTGGCTCTCTTCCCCCCCCCCCCCCCTTCACCAGCCTGCAGGAGGGAGGTAGGTAGATGTAAGGGGGCTAATGGTCCCCTGGAACAGCTGCCTGGCTCTCTTCCCCCCCCCCCCCCCTTCACCAGCCTGCAGGAGGGAGGTAGGTAGATGTAAGGGGGCTAATGGTCCCCTGGAACAGCTGCCTGGCTCTCTTCCCCCCCCCCCCCCCTTCACCAGCCTGCAGGAGGGAGGTAGGTAGATGTAAGGGGGCTAATGGTCCCCTGGAACAGCTGCCTGGCTCTCTTCCCCCCCCCCCCATGGACAGACTGCAGGATGGCTGCTCAAGGCAGCCCTCTGTACAGCCCACAAACTGCCAGTGCTGCCCTGGCCCCCCAGGAGGAGCAGTCGTCTAAATACTGCATACACATATTCCTTTTATTTATGACTTAATCCTGAGCACTATAAATCTGCTAGTATCTTAAAGTAGCATGACCTGGCTTTGTAGCAGGTAGAAAGAATTCTGAATACAAACACTCCATAACTAGATTGCTAAAGAAATGCATTAGGTGTTGGGACTGCCTGGGCACTGGTACATGACATGGGATCACAGTCCTGCTGAGGCTTGGCCTAGACATGCCTCCATCAGGGGAGGAGCTAATTGGGCTAAATTTTGAAGGACACTATGAATCTGTACGATGGGTCATAATTGTCCCTGACCCAGATTTGGCCATGCAGGTGCACAGCTGAACTGTGACCCAAGAGGACTGAGTCCTCAATACTTACATCCCCTGGCCTAATTTACAGCTGTACCACCACAGGCAATTATTGGTGAATTTTAGTCTCATACAAATAAGATTACCAGTTAAAAGGCAATTGTGAATTATCTTTATTGGTATAAGATTTTACAACTGCTGTTAAGAATTCAGTCAATAACTTGCACTAAAATACATTTTAGAGACTTTCACAACCACCACACCAGGAATGAGGTGGAATAAGATTACAGAAGAGCACATACTTATTTTAATAGTTTAAGGGCACTGCTGAAAGGTGCCAAATTCTCACAAGACTTCATCCATTTCTGTACATTGGCTGGAACAGCGTTAGAGCTACTTGTCTGTTGAAGTGCACACCATCCAACAACATCTGCTACAGTGAGTTCATTTCCCCCCAGCCAGGGAGTCTTGCCAAGGGTGGTGTTCATGGAGCGCAAGACTGCTGCTTTTTCTTTATTGCTGCCTTCCTTAAGCTGAAAGATGGCTGTATCTACCCAACTGTCGATCAGAGTTGAAGTGACTACATTATGCTTCTGGCCAAACAAAGAGAACAAAAATCTAGCAATATTTCCTTCTCCTTCAATGGGACACATGGTCTGAATACTGAACTTCATTTGGGGCTTGGGAACTGAAATTAAAAAAAACAAGAACTTTTGGCACCAAACGTTTACATACAGGAAAAAAAAGATTCATTAGAAGTGGGGAGAACTTACTGAGTACTGTATCAGTAGGCAAGCATGAACAGGCCTTCCTCTAAAGTTTTCCCAATATGATCCTATTTTCAGTTACTTATAACTTGTCCTGTTGGGCTGACCATTTCCATGCTGTATGTATGCCTCAGTTTCAAGGGGTTGGTTTTGCCTTTGCCTTTTTTTTTTTTAAAATCACCAATTCCAAAAATGAATCTAGTAACAAATACCTTTGGCCTCGTACGTTTAGCCTATTTTTCCCCTCACTACCCAGTGCTATGGAGCAGGACCTGAGTTTTGGAAAACAGGAAGGCTTTTGCTGTGACAATACATCCAAATTTGGCTAAGTTCTAAGCCTTTGAAAGAGTCCACATGCTCAGAGATTTAACAGCTGAATTATTTGAAGCAGCATGTCCTAAGCATTCTGCAGTTTGAGGCTGAGCAGAATTTTCCCCCACAGTGACCCCTGAACTGTGCTGAGGCCAAGAATGTGCCTACAAACTGATACCTACTCTCTTATGCGCTCAGTTGGGCCACGCACTACAGAGTGCCAATGGTTAAGCAAAGGCTCATTTGCCTTTTTCCTACTAGACCACACTCCTCTCCAGACAGCCCAAAATGACATCCATTATGCCTGAGTTCTCCCTCACAAGCAAGGCGTCACATTCGATCACATTCCAGGGCTGGTACAGAAACAACCATCACCTCCTCCTACTGCTGCTATCAGTTACTTCATAAATTCTAGTGGCACAAACATTTGTGGTGTAACGTTGATGTAAAGATTTCAACTCCAATTAGGCAGGGGCTCAAGATGGTGGTATACAACAGTGTTCAAGGGCTTTTGTGTGTGTAATTTTTTTTCTGCAACCTTTATTCAGCTTCCTTGTACATATGATAGTCTTTAATGACATGATCAAACTCCACGCCCCCTCTCTCCTCCCCCCCAGGATCCCTTCATTCTGTACTCAATGAACAAAAGTCAGGGTTTTTCCCCCCCCTCAATTTCCTTTTGACAGCACTTTGTGCATGCCTAGATGTGTCTTGTTCAGTTGTATCTGCTACTCTGGAAGGAGCTTCTATATATATGCTCTTCCTCAGCTAGACAAACATATACCAGTAAGGGCAGCAACAGGTTAAAACGGCAGTTAAGCATTCCTCAAACGCATTTTAACATTTCTTGTGAAAACAGAAAAGTGAGTTGAATGGTGCTCTTGAGCATGCCTGAAAGACCCTTAAAAGATGGTGAACAGAAATTGTTTTGGAACAGGGCATTTAAGACTGGTCAAGCTCACAAAAATGAATTTTGGCAAAGTACGTGTTAGGGATGTTAAAATGGATGTAATTACTGTTCAGTGCATGATCCTATGCCTGCCTTACTGCATACTATTCAAGACATCTCTTAAAAGCAGAATAATTTCCTTGTAAGATTTTCTGTGGTGCTTAATGCTAATAGCTAGTGCTTACACAAATGAGTTTCTCAACAATGCTGTGACTGAGGTGGTATAGAAAAACTAAAGATAAGAGATTAAGATCAGAAGTATCCACTAATTTCGGGTGTCCAATTTGGTGTTTAGGGCCTGATTTTCTAGTGTTCAAAGAAACTCCCAGTGACTTCAGATGCATCTGAGAGCATTAAGCACATCTTCAAATCAGAACTAGGGATGAGAAAGTATAACCGTGTATACAATTAACTAATGAGCTTGGGTTCATCAGCTAATGTTCATGGTGACACACAGGCTCCCACTACACACAGGGAGACAGCTTAAAAGCCAGTTCCTCATGCACATCGGTTTCAGGGAGGCTGACCGCTCCCACCCCACCCACCATACTGCTGCCTCTGATACTGGGAGCCGCCACACAGGAAGTCTACATCAGCCCCACATGTAACAAATGAAATTTTCAGCAGTTACATGGTTACTTAATTATATCCATTTTAACATCCCTAACACGTACTTTGCCAAAATTCAGTTTTACAAGCTTGATTAGTCTTAAAATGCCCAGTTTCAAAACAATTTCTGTTCACCTCCTTTAAGGGTCTTTCACGCATGCTCAAGAGCACCACTCAACTCACTTTTCTGTTTGCCCAAGAGATGTTAAAATGCATTTGAGGAATGCTTAACTGCCTTTTTAATCTGTTGCTGTCCTTACTGGTTTATGTTTGTCTAGCTAAGGAAGAGCATACATATAAGAAGCTCCTTCCAGAGTAGCAGATGCAACTGAACAAGACACGAAGGCATGCACAAAGTGCTGTCAAAAGGAAACTGAGAAAAAAAGCCCTGATTTTTCTTTGTTAGTAACTTTTGGAATTACTTGTAGCAATGGAAGGTATAATATTCACATGGAAGTGTAATTTTTTTCAAATTGAATCACTCTTTAAATTGTGTTCATCTAAAGCGTGTGCTTGAAATTAGAACTACAGAAATTTAGAACTTCCTCAGTTTAACCATTAGCAAGCCAACATTTCCTTTCTGTAAGTTAGATGTCATTCTTACCATCCTTCCAAATGAGAGTAAAGCCCAACTGGTACTCGTGACGTGATTGTTTTTTAGTCTGTTCACCAAAGCATTTCAAAAGGTTTTCTGGCACGTATTTTACTGATGAATGTGTATGAACAGTGGATAAAATCTTATAGCGCTCACACAGCAGACCGTGCAGTACTAACAGTGACAATGGAGGTAGAGAAGGGTTTGCATTGATGACAATATCTTTCAGAGCACCATAATCCTGCATGAAAAATAAATATTTAGCACATGTTAATGTGTAACAACTCATTGCACGGCAAAGACATTCAATAAGTACATTTTGGTGTAGAACAAGACATTTATCTGGCCATATAGTTGTACATTCTAAATATTCTAGTATTCAGTTTAATTTTAACATTTACAGTATCTGCTCAAGCAACTTCCTTGCCAAACAATATTTCAAAAATTTTTAAAAAAATGCTATGATTAAAAACCTGGTTCTAGCTAAACACCAAAGTAAAGAGTCCATTAATTTCAGCATCATTAGGGCCATAATTTCAAGATAACCAAATTCTAAAATGGACTAGTTTATCTGACCGTTTCAAATAACCCAAACTGAACTGTTTTAGTTTTAAAGAGCAGTAAAAGTAGGTCTTCTGTACGTATCAGTTTTAAGCATCCCAAATTTTACTCAGCCTGCAGTATTTTCCCCTTATTAAAATTTGAATGCAATGCTAATAAGCTAACTACTTATCACAGTTAACCAATTACCTTTCATGCAGAGGTAACAGAAGATACGTATATTGATAATCTACAAGTCTGTACTTGCCTTCCCAAGCATTGAATCTAAGTCTGCTGTGTTTGCAGTCAAAGGAGCATATTCATCAGCTTGGATTATATTAGTTACATCAAAATCAGCATCTGGTGTTTGTATCATCTTTGAGAGCCCATCAACAGCAGCTTTAAGTTCATACAATCGTTTTAAAATATCTTCTTGGCGAGATTCAAGTGTTAGAAGTGATGGATCAACCTCTTCCTAGAGCGAAAGCATTAGATTAATTTTCATTTAAACCTAATACAGCAACACAATTAGTGCATATCATTAACTGTGCAAAAGTCTCCACAAGAACTTATTTTCACACGTCACATCACACCTTTCATTTTACACCATTGACAATTTTTTTAAAATATCCTTAAGCAAATTCTTAAGCTTATTAGGCTATGTCTACACTTGGGAGGTTTGGCACTGGGGAGGTTTGGTTGCCAAAAATGAAAAGTGGCCAAATCAGTTTTTCTGTCACTCGCTGGACATTTCATGGCCACATTGTTAACAACCCATTGACAGAGGAAAGCAATGTGGGCAAGCATCCCAAAGTGCAGAGTTGTGGGAAGGCAGAGCTAATCCCTGCACTTTTTGGGATTCCTTCCTAGTTCTGTGAGCAATGTCAAAGCAGCACATCAGTCTCTTCAGCCCTCCCCCTGTATCAGCAGTTTGCCTTGCTGCTGTTTTTCTAGTGCAGGTCAGAACAGAAGCATTATAATGATTTGTTCTTTGTTCCCCAAATAGAGCCACTCACTTAGCAGTCATATTGTTCCCAAAGTACTGAAAGGGGAGAGGCACATGCATGCAAGGTAGCAGAGATCCCAAAACACTGAGCAAAGCCATCAGGGTAGGCATTGTGGGATACTAGTAGAAGCCAGTTCTCTTGACAAAAGAAACAGCAGAGTCCACACTAGCTCTTTGTTGACAATAAAGGGAAGGGAAAGACAAGTCTCTCCCAGGGATGGATTTTTTTTAAATCACCAAAACTGGGAGTCTTCTCTCCCATCCCCCACCAAAAGTGCCACTGTAGTGTAAATGCTCTCCCTGTTTTGGTGACAAAATATGCCAGTGTAGACAAGGTCTTAGTAATCTATGTCACTTCTAATGACTAAGTGAGCAGATGACTGTGAAATGATATCCCTTACTCAAACAGCTTCCTGAACTCCTATTAGTTAACATTTCTTAAGTTATTTATTAAACATTTTTGATACACATATTGACTAGGAAGGTTAAGTAGTGTGTAATTCATTACTTGTATAGTTGACAAAAAATTTGTTGACTACATGATTAAATCGATAAGGGCTCTGCTCTGCACTAAAATTAATTTAGGAGGTGGGCAGGCAGGTGGTCTGGCTCAGCCCTGGCTTGTACCGGGTCCCGGGAGCTACACTCACTGTGGTTCTGCAAAAAAAAGTAATTTAGGAGCCAGGCAGCTGTTTTATTGGGAGGGGGGAGGGAGGGGCACTCCACAGCGGGGGCAGCTCCTGGGATCATGTGCTAGCAGACCCAGAGACGGGCTGCCTGTCCTCGTGACTCCTAAATTACTTTCCCTGAAGAGATGCAGTGGGGACTGAGCCAGGACTGAGCTATGCTGCTGGTCAGCCCTCTAAAAAAATGTACTGGTCGGGGGTGGGGTTGGGAGAGAGAATGCCTCAACAGTATTAAACAATAAGCTTTGCTTATTGATTTAATCGTTTAGTCAGCTACACTATTACATCCCTAATGTTGACAGCTCCATTCCATGACAGTGATTCCAAAATCTAATCAAAACCTTTTTTAAACTGTAAATCTATATATAAGAATTCAAAATAAACCTTAAGGACCTCATGAATAGAGACACCTAAGGAATCAAGAATGACTTGCCAGCCATTTAACTTCAACACAAGCAGTGACTTTCAGACTGATAAAACTCATGCGGAAGTTGTAGTATCAAAAAGCTTTAAAAGGAAAGTGAATTCCAGTTCTCAAACATAAGGCTTGTGAATCAGATCTGGTTCTTTCCAGACCTGGTACATAAACATGAGCAAAGTATTTTACCCATCTGTGGTTCAATTTCCTTACAGTAATATAGGGGACAATACTTATCTTTGTGAAGTACTTAGGAGAACCTTAAAACAGTGTCAGTAAATGTTAATATAAAGCAAGATATGCAAGACTGATTCATGTTAATTTTTTGAATCAAGAATATTATGGATTTAAACAAGCACCAAATGTCAAAAGGCAGCCAATACAGCATATAATAAAATACTTTGGTGCTGAAGGCAAACACCTAATTGTGTATTGTGTTAGGTGTACTCGGCCCTTAATTCTTCCAAGTAGGAGGAATGAAAGCTATTTTAGTACTAAAAGTGATTGACTGATTTTTAATTCACACCTGATGGTATTTTAATGCTAGTGGGTACACCAAACCTAATAGCTATTTTTGTAAAAAAAATCAGAGCTATTTTAAGTAAGTGTAGTAATACTGCATTTCAGTAAGGGACGTGTAAACAGACTGAGTGAGGTACAGTATATATAGACTAAATTTTTTTCCCCCACTGTGCAGCACATTGAAATGTTCCCTCATGAACCATCTGCTCCTTCATACAAGCACCATCCATAACTTCCCGGGTCTGGCTATCAAAATATTTAAATCTCTCAATCATTATATTTATTTTACATTGTCCCATTTTTAATATGCCACAGATTTTTGCATTAATTCACAACTGCTTTGTAGAAGTTGGGGAAACTGAAGGGTCAAGCAACTAGACAGGAAGAGATGGAAATTTTGGCACAGGGTTTAAATGCAAACTGTTTTGAGCTCATGGGTACAGCACTTAATAAAATAATCAACAAATAGATTACAATGTTCTTCGGACTGAAGAAGTGGGTTTTGCCCAGGAAAGCTTATGATGCTATCTCTATATATTTCTGGTTAGTCTCTAAGATGATACAGGATCATTGTTGTTTTTTTAGTTTTTTGTTACAGACTAATAGGGCTACCCCTCAGACTTCAGGACAACAATGCCATGTATCAGAGGGGTAGCCGTGTTAGCCTGAATCTGCAAAAGTGGCGAGGAATCCTGTGGCACTTTACAGACTAACTGAAGTGTAGGAGCATAAGCTTTCGTGGGCAAAGACCCACTGTGTCAAATACATCTTGCAGTGGGTCTTCGTCAGATGCAAGATGTATCTGACAAAGTGGGTCTTCGCCCATGAAAGCTTATGCTCCTACACTTCAGTTAGTCTATAAGGTGCCACAGGACTCCTCGCCACTTTACCAAGGCCATGATTACCTTCACAGCCAGAAAGGCACGTCACAACACCTTAATCTAAAAAAAATAAAACAAACTGCAACAGTTTTCTGCCAAAAGTCCAGGGCATGCCCTAGAACCTTCCCTATGGCCCCACTACCCCCTGAAGACTTTACGGAAAGCACAGGTTCCACAACACTCGGTGTTCACACAATCAGACAGGGGTGGAGGCAAACTTCACTGCCGACAAAAGAGGGGCGGTCTCACACGGGCGGGTGTGCCGGGACAAGCTGCACAAGAGAACAGCTTCCCCGACGTGACCCCGGGAGGCAATGTGACTTTGTAAGGAAATGCAGTTTAATGTTGAACGGATTTAAAACGATGCATTTCCATTCAGATCAACAACATTAAATTAAACATTTTGATTCAGAAATGTCAAAACATTGCATTTCCATTGAAATTGTTGACTGGGACTGTTTCACCATTTCTGAATGACCAATTTTTTTCATGGAACAGAAATTTAAAAAATTTTATTTCAACTTTGTGTCCTTCTTCTTCTTCGTGAGATTGATGTAGATGTAGATGTAGAGCTTTACATGCAGGTGGTTGCCAAGAAATTTTGTGAGGTGTGGTGAGGTGTATCGCTATATTTGTGAGTAAGGCATTTAGTCGTTATAGCGTCCATGGTCTGTGCTGGGTGACCACAGTCCCTCACTGGAGAGTTTTTAATTTCCCATTGGTGCATCTGCTATGGTTTGTGTAGATGTGGTTTAGGGCTGACCATAAGATTTGAGGATGGTGGAAGCCAGGGATCTTTTTGTTCTGGTTCAAGATGAAAACCAAGGTAGGATTATCAGAATTTTCCATGGACAGAAAATCTGCCTTTTGCTCAGCTATAGAGGGAATGTAGAGAACCAGCAAAGGAATTTCTTATTTTAAGCTTGGAAGTTGCTGTTGTGTTGGGATGATGCTTCTGCCATTTTGGAAATATGCCATGTGAAAATAATTGAACAAGGTTTATTCTAGCCCTTGTTTTACTCCTCCCTGGAGTGTGCCTAGAGAAAAGTCTATATCAGTAAGACCCACTTAGAGTCTGATCCTTCAAGGTACCCAACATCTCCTGCAAAATGCTCAGAGCTTTTAGTTCCTGTTGATTGCAGCGGGAGCTGAGGCCGGCCAGCCCCTCCAAGGATAGGGTGCTTAGGAGCACATTTTCAAATGATCTTATCACTCAACATTGTGACCAGAATTTTCAAAAGGTGCTTGTTAGGCACCTGACCACATGGCAGAAGGCGGAAAACGGGAGCTTTCTTCCGATTGGAGAAGATGATTTCCTAGCGGCCAATGACCGCGCGGGGGTGGAGTCTGCATGAGATGGGCGGTGGGCTCTGTGAGGCGGCTTAAGCGGTGGTGCGCGGCGGGGCTGTGTCGGGGTTTCCTGCCGAGCTGAGACTCTATGGAGGCGACGGCGCCCTGGTGAGGCCCGTGCGGAGGGCGGTGCTGCTGGTGGCGTGGAGGCGCCTGAGGGACCCTCTCCCGCCAGCGGGAAGTGGCTTCATCTTGACCCGGGCGCGGGGCCCTCTGGTAGCGCGCGGCCCTGAGGAAGTGGAGCTGGCGCGTCTGTAGCCCGCGGTGGCCCCGGCCCTTGTCCCTGCGAGTAATGAAACCAGGCCGTGCCCCCTCGCGGCTCTCCTTCGTTGCAGCCTCGTCGCCCCCACAGGGCCGTGGCCTCCTTTCTTCCCGTGACATCATTGCCCCCACTGTGCCCGCACCCAAAGCTGCATCAGTCAAACTCGTATCCGGGTGGCCTGGTGCCCGTCAGCAGTGTGTTAATACAGGGCTACATCAGAGTGCAGTGTTCTTGTGCTCCGTGTGTCTTCTCTCGGTGTACAGCCGGCCCCCGAGTTACGAATGCATTGACTCATAGTTTCCACCAATTCCCATTAAGCACGTTACAGCCGGTCCCCGAGTTACAAATGCATTGACTTGCCACCGTTCATACCACCAA